CTTGGTCGTACTATTAAAGAGAAAAAGCTGGCGTCTGGGGTCCACACCACCAGTAGTGTGCTATGTGTTGAATCATTCAACGCAACGTGAAAATTCTTCGGACACGGTGGATATATTATATAAAGAGAAATCATCTCCGGGTGCGCCCCCCCCCAAGCTTCTTGGTCGTACTATTAAAGAGAAAAAGGTGGCGTCTGGGGTCCACACCACCAGCGTGCGCTATGCTTTGAATCATTCAACGTAACGTGAAAATTCTTGGGACACGGTGAATATATATACAAAGAGAAATCATCTCCGGGTGCCCCCCATATTATTGGAAGAAGCGATATCGTATTTTCTGGCCGCGTGGGCAAAATTCTTAGCACAGAAGCACCAAGAAAACGTCGTACTAACTCAGAAAAGGTGGTGCCTGGGGTCCACACCACCAGTAGTGCGCTATGTTTTGAATCATTCAACGCAACGTGAAAATTCTTGGGACACGGTGAATATATATATATACAAAGAGAAATCATCTCACGGTGCCCCCCACATTATTGGTAGAACTTACTAGAAGCGATATCGCATTTTCCGGCCGCGTGGGCAAAATTACTGAGCCAAGGGTCTCTCGGAGAGGATTTCTGGTGACGTGATGGTACTGAGGCGTGAAAGCAGCAGATGACACTAGGTAGAAGCACTAATAATAGTTCTGGGGGAAGCCAATAGCCGCGGGGGCAATCGTGGGTATAATTTGGGTATACACCACGTGATCGTGCCAGTCGCCCAAATGCGCGTGAGAGAGTGCCGCAGTGTGTGTACAGAGTACGGGACATGTCAGGCTGGCAACAACATGGCGAAGGAACTGCTAGAAGAGATCACGGAACGCTTCCTGGTGTGCAGCGTGTGTCTTGAGGAATACGACGAGCCGAAGACGCTCCCCTGCTCTCACTGCTTCTGCCGGAAGTGTCTTGAGAACGTCTTAGATTCTGCCAAGGAGGGACGGAAGCGTACGAGACTGTGCTGTCCTTCGTGCCGCCAGGAGGCAAGGCTGTATGGGAGGGGCGTGCAGGAATTGGAGGACAGTCAGTTTTTGAGAAAACTTCAGAAAGTGGTGTCGAGTCGGACTGCTATGCTTGGAGACGCTGCGAGGGCGTGTTGTGGGCTGTGTCAGTGTAAGGAGGCGGCGGCTACCGCGTTCTGTAAGGGCTGCGAGCACTATCTCTGCGAGGATTGCTCCCACACGCACAGGGTCATATCCGACGCCGCCAGCGAACATGAGCTGCTGCAGGTGTCGGGGCAGGAGTGCCCGCCGGCCGAAGGAACCTCCACGCCGACCCGGTCAACCGAAGAACAACGGCAAATCCACTTGTTCCTGTGTGCACCGTGCGAGTTACTGGTATGCCTGCACTGCGTGGTGACGTCCCACAGGGGGCACGCCTATGTCGAGCTTCGCGAGGCGATTCAGCGGGAGAGGCGACTGGCTTCCCGGCGGGACTACTACCCCGGCTACCCGCTCAGGCGACACACAAGCTCCGGCGGTGAAAGCAGCAACCTGGATATAAAGTTAGAGGAAATGCACAGCGTTATACATTTGACTTCTATGAGGAGAGATATAGTCTGATTTTTTTTTACTGAAAATTTCTCTGTAAAAGAAATGCATGCTTTATCTACTATGACTTAATTTGGGTCTACGCTTGTAGCTAAAATACACACAGGTCCCACTGGGCTCTAAGTCATGTAAAGTCTAGCTAGGCCAGCTAGTATACGTCAATAGCCGAGAATGCGGGTATTGTGAGGCGACTAATGTATGCTACTGTTGGCTTAAGGCCAGTTATTCACGATTCCTTGGACCAATCTTAACGCGATCATTTTTAAATCGATATTTAGAGGCCGTGTTGCGGTCAGATCAGCCATAGTGCATATCCGTGTAATTGGGACTCTATAGCACGTAAATTCCAGACATGTCCGGCCGAGAGGTGTTTTCTCTTTAAGACCTTGATATTCTAGTCGTCTGTCGTCTTTTGTGTTGGGGCATTAGGCCGCAGCAAGTGAATTTTGTGGATGACATTCTCCTCAGACTACAAATTTGATGCGATAAGGCGAAAAAAATAAAGCGGGCCAAAAAATTTCTACATTTTCAGTTTCTCAAGAATTGAGGCAACAAAACATGACAACCACCAGGTTTTTATTCCTGCATTTAACAGTGTCAGTGTCATATGTTAATAACATATATCTTATAATTTACAATTGTAGAAAACATTAGTCATACGTGATGAAACGCCTTAGACTGTCGGCATTTGCCATCAAACACCAGCAATTGTGCTAGCCTCCGTAGCAGGCTTGTAGAATTGTATTTGGTGGTCTTCGGCTGTTTGCTGATTAGCCTGATAATTCAACCAGGCCGGCTATGTTGTCTATATGCAATCAGAAAATATATAGCACATAAAAGCTCCCAAAGACCCTGAAGACCTCCAAAACCCCCAGTTTTTGGCATGCTATGGTGCCCCAAGTTTGCCGGATCGCTGATGGTCTCTGAAAAATAGACGTTTACAACATTTTGTCCATTTTTGGCATGTTGTCCACCGTCAGAGACCAACAAAATTTCTTTTTTTCTTTACAAAATCAGGCGAAAATTGCGCTCATGTCATCCAAAAAAATTGCTTACTGTGGCCTTAGGCATGGAAGTGTTTTTTGGTGTTTTTTTTACAAAATCAGGCGAAATTCGTGCTGATGTTATCCATAAAATTACTTACTGTGGCCTTAAAGGCACGGAAATGTTTTTTGGGTCCGCCTGATCTTTTTTTATATATATTCAGGTGAAAATCGTGCTGATGTCATCCATAAAATTACTTGCTGTGGCCTTAAAGGCATGGAAATGCTTTTTGGGTTCGCCTGATCTCAGAAACAATTGTGGAGATAATGGTTAGACGGAAGCGGACTGTGCAACCCGCAGGCTATCAGGCCATGTGGATTTGATTATATGGATGACATCCTCTGGGAACCCCAAAACTGAGGCGAGCGTGCGAATAAAAAAAATTGAAAAAAAGTTGCTTCATTATGAAATCTACGTGGTTATGAAGGTTGAACAAATGACAAAAGAGTATGGTATAGCGAATAATCTAGTCCTCAAATTCATTTCTTTATATTCATGTTTACAGAAGGGAAACATATTGTTTTTGCTCAGTTTCTTCCTCTTCTTCTCCAAACATTGACCTGACCAATGACATGATTTGTTGACGTCTGTCACCATGGTGACTGGTGTTGGGTTACATAATGTTGCAATTTTCATGGTCTGCTCTGCTCCTGTCACCATATACTAGTAGTACATGTATGTGAATGTGTTTGAGTAAGAATTAACAGAGCAAACCATGTCTAAAGGTAAACATTATGCATTTGCTTTGCAAAGGTTACTTCTCTAGTTTCGTCTTTTTCGTTTCATTTTGGCATTCTACGACAATGGTATGGTTTTCAATTATTTTCAACTTACGGTATGTATTTGCTCATTTTGCAACTGCTTTGTATGATTAACAGTATATGGTTGAATTTTTTTTTTTTTTTGGAAACGGCCGAAAATTCATGCGCGCGCGGATATCATCCATATAATCAAATCAACATGGCCTCATGGTCAAACGGAATACCAAATCTCACCGCTCAGTCCACAGGATACCACCGGCCACACGTGAATTCAGATCTAAGGTTTACTGACAATCGCTACTGCCGTTGAATACAGAACTTACACCCACTGACCCAGTCTGATTTTTGAGAATCTGTGAGTACTAAGATAAGGTTATACTAGGGAAGTAACATTTGCAAAGCAAATGCATAATGTTTTCCTTTGGACATGGTCTGCTCTGATAATTCTTACTCAAACACATTCAAATACACATGTACTACTAGTATATGGTGACAGGAGCAGAGCAGACAATGAAATTGCAACATGATGTAACCCAACACCAGTCACCATGGTGACAGACGTCAACAAATCATGTCATTGGTCAGGTCAGAGGTCACTGTTTGGAGAAGAGGAAGAGGAAGAGACTGAGCAAAAAAATAATATATTTTCCTTCGGTAAACATAATAAGGCATCCGATGTAATTTTAGGGTTGTAAAACTGGATTTTCTGAATTTTCTGGTCATTCTTTTGATGTGCTTAGTTGAATGAATCAATCCTATCCTGTATCACACTGATATCTGAGAGACAAAAATGCGATGTCCCTGACGGAAAACCGTTGCTTGTTTTGTATAGTAGGCCTGTTCTATCTATTTATGGGTGGTACCCAAAAGTAAAGAGACTAACAAGGCTTGTTTTGGGGCTAGTTTAAACATTTCACGTATGAAATTATGACAGAAATGGCACTAGTAATTGTCAATATCAGACAGATTTCATCATCCAGAATATTTTTTTTTGTTTTGCCGCACTGAAATTGCATTTGATGCCTTTAAGTTCTAATACAGGGGAATGACGTGTTTGTAGATGCTAATACAGGTCATTCTGAAACAAACTACCAGTAATTCCACCGGTAAGTCTTATTTTCCTTTTCCATATAATCCAAACTCCTACTAAATGTCAATATTGAAAGAACGACCACCTGTCCATCTAAAATATGTTACCATTGTTCCTTTATGCTATAACGTTATAGATGTATTCAACTTTGATATCCATTTATATCCATTACTAATTTATCATTATTATTGATAATATTTTTCGAAATACCATAGTTAGTTACATGTAGGCTGCCGACTGATTTCATAAGTGATATGGACAATTTCCTGATTCCAGATATGCTAATTTCATCGTTTGCTCCATTAGAATTCACACATTCTAGCGGAGTCGTAAATTAAACGCTATCTGATTGGCCCGAGCCCAAGAAAGTCTCTTGAAGTGGAATCGGGAGGTATCTTTGGTTCTACCAATCACATGTAATGTTACAAGGTGATATCAAACGAGATCTGAGGAAAAAGGGTTTTCATGGTTGTGTAACAGTCGTATATTAGTCGCCATTTCTACTCGCAAGTTATCTATTTATTATAGTAAAACGTTAAACTTTATTCCAACACACTTCCAATCAAAAGTGCCATGGAGTATATATCGTCCACCATCTCTATTAAGTGAAGGCTGAAGTGCTCTGATATATATATATATATAATACTTTTGATCAATTGCTTACGTCACGTATCAGTAAAGTCTCGTGTGAATAAGGTCACGTGTTTGTAAACTGTAACTCTCGCGAGATCACGTTGTGAAGTGGTTGGTCATTAATTATCCTGATGAAGGCGACAGTGGTCGCTGAAAATTTGATCCCTGTAAATAGTGTGTTGGAATAAAGTTTAACGTTTTACTATGATTACCAACACAGATGAACTTTCATGATAATCTATTTATTATGTTTAACTTGAGTTCGCTGAAGGAAAGCATTGTTTTTGCTCTGTTTCCTATTCCTTCTTTCTTCTTCTTCTCCAAACAAATAAGGTCAATGACCTGAACCAGACGTATGTCACCCTTTAACAGTTTCAACCATTTCATAACGCCCACGAATGTGGGAAATGTGGGACGAAAGTGTGCTACATGTGGACTTGAAGCAACAACTACTCTCGACTGGTAAGAGTCCTCGATGTATCGAAGTGTCGTTCAAGACCTACTCATACATGCACGCAATCTGCGCTGAAAGTCAAAAGTATACATCCGTGTCCATAATATCACCAGGGTCCATAATATCACCACCTTGAGAAATAGTGTGCTTAAAGATATTTTTACTGCAACATACCTTTGGTATGTACTCCTGCACACCTCAAATGTATATACCTAGGGTATGTTGCAGTAAAAATATCTTTAAACACACTATTTCTCAAGGTGGCGATATTATGGACCCTGGTGATATTATGGACACGGATGTTATATGTTAAAGTCAACACGCTGTTTTTAGTCCCTGTCACACTTTCGCGACCTCCACCCAAATTTGTTCCCAAGGCTGACGTTTGGGAGCAGTTTGGCCAGATTTAGTTTAGGCCACGCCTACCTTTTACGAAATCAAAACAAATAAATTTGAGTCAAATTTGACCCCCCCCCCAAACACGACCCCAACACTGCTGACTTACTCGCGAATTGTTGTCTGGTGTTCTGCTGACTTTAATACAGCTGAAAACCAGCCAAACATAGTCTTCAGACCAGCCCCCGAAAGTTTTGAAAGGCATCAAAATTCAGTTTTTAGCGCTTGGAAACCCGATTTTTCAGAGCCAATATTCTTGTTACTTATCTACATACTGAGTTGAAACCACGCTATCCCAATGTATATTGACCATCAAAGAGCAAAAATACCCAAAGTTCTGACAGAAAATGATTGCTGGAAGGGCACTGGGCTGATTTTAGGGTACCACCCATAAAGTAAAGGACTCATCTTGGGGCTTGTTTCTGCAGTTTTAAATTCCAAAAAGTATGAAATACTGACTCAAATGTGCTAATGTGAAGCAGTATTTGTCAATATCATAAAGATTGCCCTATTCAGAATATTTCCAGTTTTGCTGCTCTGAAATCGCATTGTATGCCTTTAAAACATTTTGAACATTTGAAACATTCAGCTGGCTCGAACACCAGCCGACTATGCGCCGACCTACTCCTAACCATGGTTGGGGAACGTTCGGCTAGCGTTCGGGAGGCCAAAATTCGATCGTGAAATGTGTGACAGGGGCTCAAATGAGCATGTGAAGTTAAACCACCTTGAAACCACTCTAAAGTAA